TCAACGAAATGTGATCGAGGCACATTAATCACACCTATTGATGTTATCCACTGTGAACATGTGACTAATATTATTTTTTATATGATTTTCTTTAAATATGTTGCTACCATGAAACTGCCAAGTCAAATCAATTGGTTCTCTATAAAAGAGCTGTCAAAAGACGTAAACTGCAGCTTCTTCAAATGTCATGTGAAAACTCTTTATATATCTGCGTACTTGAAGAAGACGATTTAAAAATAATTGTATATTTTTTCTATTACTATATAAATACCTACAACTACTATAATTTCTTCGATGGTTGTGTTATGAACGATCATGCTTTCTAAATGACATGGCCGGATTTTGTATAGAGCTATGTCCAAAAAAAATACTTTGACATACTGTGGGTTACATTAAAGCTTACTAGGTTTATCACAAGTGATTTGGCATCATAACAATGTTACAAAGTAATGCATCAATATTTCTTTAATCTAGATATTTTAAGAAGAATGTATATGAACGTAAGATACGTTTAAGTGTTACATTATATGTAAGCATATGATGTAATTTTTTAACCACATCTGGTGTATATGTGGTTAAAAAATACTGTCAAATACGCGACACAGGTATTTAAAACGTTGAATAAAACTATCAAAGAGTAAAGCAATTTACGTCATAAAGAATATCTAGTCAAAATGCCAATGACAATATTCGGATACACTCGCCTAAGAATAATATTGTTAAAACACAAAACGTTGCTTGTTTATTGCACGGCTTTTTTGTGATAATTATAAAATAATTTATTTTTTTATTTATCACAGCAATACGATTCAGATAGCTCTATTTATCTAATTCATCTAAAGTTAATTACAAAGCAGTCATTGTGTTTATAATATGCATGTATCTATACGCAAATTAATTGTCTGGCGATCGTAGCTGTAGCACTATTTTTTGCGAAATTCCAACACCTAAAATATAACCATCTTATATAAACATCTTGATAAAATAAACGTTCTGTTTTTTATGGTATATTTTGTCGCATGTTCTAAGAGAATTGTGATCATTACCATATATTTTAATTGGCATTTCTATTGATTCTTTGGGCAGGACCGGATCCTGTCACTTTGTCACTTTACTACCAGTATTGGTGGAAACTCCTTATTCTATGTCGTGCACTCAACGGTGACAGTTTCCGAAAATTTTCCGAAAGTTCCACAGGTTAAAATTGAAATGTATTGTCTATGGCAATAGTTTGTTAGAAACCGGCCTTTTTATGTCAATAAATTTATACAAATTCTTTAGTTTTAATTAATGTTGTGATCAAATAGACGATAATCTTGAATAATCTCTGATTTAACTTTATAAAGTAATATGTGGAGAAAAAAAGAAGTCATTGCCGAGTTTTTTTGCTGGTTGCAATAGTGTTTCAACATTTCTATTGAGTTTTGTTTTCTAACATCTGGTAATTAACTCAACAAAGTTCTATAGTCGCACAGTAATTAAATTGACTGATTGCATATTTTTGCATATGTTGACTAATTTTTATATTAATTATTTTTTAACAAACTGTTAACGTCAAGGATGTTAACAGTTTTACTGAGAACAACCGACTTCAGCCATGTCCACCATTAACTGACAAGTTCACAGGGAAATTGCCATTGTTATTAGATAATAATTGTCCTCGTTGCGCCACAATTGACGTAAACAGGTATGTATAATGATATTTAGTATAAAATGTATCTAATTAAAATGTAAGCTGTGTATGTGTGTGTTTTTCCTTGTTTCTAAGGTTCATTCATATAGTACAATCCGTAATTTATAATACTTTACGTATAGCTTGTTCAGTATTCCTAGATTAAGTAAATGCTTAGATACCTACAGGTGCTAGGTTTATTTTATTGAATGCGCACTAGTCATTAACTAAAACTATTTAAACGGTTCTATCGCCTGGATTTTCGATAAATTATTACTCGCCGCAAGTATTGAGATATCATCAGCAAACTTAATCGAAGTGTATAAACACGGCACACACTTTGATGAAAGACAGCAACAACAATAATTAAAGGTTAAAAGTGACAAAAGTTATAAAAATTCAAATTTAAAATAATATAAAAACACTTCCTTAAAGAAGCTGGCAAAACTGTCTGTCGCCTACAATTATGGACACGTCCGAATTAATTTTATTTATTAATATCCTGCTGTGACACAATGCTATACGAATAACATTACGGAGAATAGACTATAATACACTATACACAGCTTTTGAAAAAGAGCAATTCGGAACGGCTTCCGGAGCAGGGACGAGTTCGAGATATTTGATCGCCCTTCTAACAACTGGCTTCCACGATAATTACTTAATCACAAAGATAAAATGCTAACCGTTGCGGTATCGTACTCCATGTTCTCATACTGGAATGTAATTGATGATAATACTATAAAGACCCTTAACAATGACTCATCGTCCCCCCTCAATGTTTCGTTCAATCCTTTTCAACCGGTAATTCCATACACGCAATGCGTTACTAGCAGGTATTAGTAATAAACTGAAGTGGTCTCTACGTGCGTGTTTTCACTCCGACTATAAACAGGGAAGAGGTTTTAATTTAGCTACCGACTTCATTAAGGCTGGTTTTAGTATCATGCTGACCATCGGCGCTGACACGCCAATATGTATGAGCTCTATAGAAGTGAATATGTATGAGTTCTATAGTTACGCCGACCGCTCAGCGCTGACGATCTACTGAGCTGAACCGTCCGCAGCCGTACGCATTGCCGTAGCCGGGCGGGCGTCGTCAGCGTCGTACAATCATGTGGAATGTGAAACACAGAAGTGTGTGAATGCATCCGATCCACTACAAAAATAAAGATGCCAAAAACAAGTACTACTGCATCGTGATAACTTGTCATCAAACTTTGCTATTAATTAACGGTTCAAAATTTTTTGTTGGCATGCGTAAGTAGTTAAAGGACTCCGCCGTATAGTCATCCCTTTTAACTATAAAGGTATAGTCATCCCTTTTAAGTATTTCAAACAGTGTCAACTGGTTGAACAATAGCAATCTTTGAGCAAAAGTGAATGAACATGTGTTCATCTTTTCAGTGTCGCTTTATTTTGCATGAATAATAAATACATTACAGCAATTTAAACACTCGTTGGATTGGCTATGTCTATACTTGGCAGCGATCAGCACGACACAGAAACGAGTATGCGCCGACAGCTCGCGCTGATAAGCTACGCGCTTAGTCGTCAGCGCGGACGTTCCGCGTTACACTAAAACCAGCCTTAGAAACTGATAGAGGTCACTATGCAGATGTCATAGAAATTTCAATAGTGCATAGAAAACTTCTTCACCCGACTTGCAATGCTGACCGCAAATTTTTTATTTAAAATTTTTGTAAAAGTGAAAAATCGTGAGATTTTAAGTGAGGACTGTATGGCGGATGTTCTTGAATTTCAACATTGTTCTGCTTCAAATAATTGTTCGGCCAGTTTTGTGTGAGCTTGCATTGTCTTGATGCAGTAGAATGCGTCGATTTGGGTGGGCTCCTTGGATAAATCGTTGTAGAGTTTTCCGATCTCATCTGACTCGAGACTCCAGTCTTCAGAGAGCATACGGGGGATCCAACGGGATACAAGTTTTCTCACACCGAGTGCTTCGTGTAAAATCTTTTGAATTGTTGTCGCCGAAATGCCTAAAAATGTTTATATATCACCATAAGTCATATGGCGGACTTCAGTTATTAATTTTCTCACAGCAACAATGTTTCCTTCGGTTAAAGCTGTTTTTGGTCGTCCTTCAAAATATTTGTCACAAAGCCTAGTATGTAACCCTAAATTCCAGCATTTGTCGGTCGGTTCGGTTATAATTTCAAAATTGGCGGTAAATAGGTAAACGACAAAACATAAAAGGCATGCCTGGTATGCACTCTCATTTCTAAGGATCCATTTAAAATCAGGTTAATTTTATCAAATAAAACTCTGTACCACATTGTAGAATACGTTCGCTTGCCAAAGATTCATGTGTGCCAAAAATTAACCCGTTTAAATATGGGACGAAGTAAAATTTTACAATTCTAACTTGTCACAAACTCATCACGTAGGTATATCAAAATAATGTAAGGCCGATACGGAATAAATACTAGAGACGGACTAAACGAAAAATACCTTGTATGTGAATGACAAGTGTCGTAAGAAATATTTTGACTAGGCGTGCAATACACAGAGGTGTGCGGGATTCATATATTTTGATACAAACAATTCAAAATCGTTGCTTCCGTATAATTCGGAGAGGCCTATGAGGAATAATGTGCATTTCTAAAAAAAAAATGTAACACAGATAATATTGTTTCCGTTTTCGGTATTAGCTATGCAGAGAATCATGCGTTTTGCTGAGCGATTTCTAACTGGATGCACATTTGATGTTATTTTACTACTGGAAATAATTTTTACAAAATGATTCTGCGGTAATAGATTCCTTGTGTGACTAGATTGTGACATTTAATCTTATGGCGTCCAATTCCCTGTGTTGCTTTTGTCACCATCTGTGTAATGTTAAGAGGACGCGTACATCAAAAAACACAACTATTTTGTACAAAGAAACAACGTCCAAATAAACTGTATTTGAAAATGAAAAAAAACTACATCATACTTATAAAGTTTTTTGTCGCAGCCAAAACGTGAATTAAAAAAATCCCTATAGAAAAAAGAAGTCACAATATTACGCCTAAATTTTAGGCGTAATTTTATTATTATTATATTTAAATGGAAAATTATAATTTAGGAAAAATAAAAATCGGCTGTTTGTAGGGTGATGTCAGAAACCATAAAAACCGGCGAGTATGTATGAAAAGAGTATGAAAGTGGTGGAGGCGAAAGGAGTCTAGCATCTCTGTCTACCCTGCAAGGGATATGTCGTGAAGATATATAGATATATATCTATCTAGATACAAAATCAAATATGTCTTGTCACAAGAGATATTTTATATATCCTTATCCACCCTTAACGGTTTGCTGTCTGCAGGTGTGTGCGTGGCGTAGGTAGCGGAGGCGGCGCGTGGCGGTCCCCAGAGGCGGTTGGCATTCAGCTCTAGTGTTTACCACGAGAGCACCATGAACGAATTGGACAGCCTACGCCAGGAGGCGGAGACACTCAAGAATGCTATACGAGTGAGATTACTGTGTCTATTTATGTGATATTATCATTTATTTCGGGTTCGCTTAGTAATTTGGGTTTCGTGCGTTATTATAACAAATGAAAGGGCTTGTGAGAATCTCGAATATACTACTTTAAGATAATTATTTTTTAATTTAGGCTCATGTAAGCCGCCGGTTTATCATTGTCACGGGTATGTTATGGGTACGCTTGTCGTTTTAGATCCTCATCTTGGAATCTAAGTAATGTATTTGATGTTGCCTAATATTAATTTATGTATGTGTAGCCCTCAGGAAATTTGTAATTAATGAGCATGAAATTTGTAAAAATAAAAGAAAAGAGTTCTTTTTCTATGATATAGAAAACCTTGTAACGTATATTAATCCTTCTTTTTGAAAAATATCAATATAAAATGTAAATACAAAATTTATTTATACTATTATTATAATGAGGTAAAGTTTCTAACTTTGTTTTTTGGGGTCATCTTCAGAAATACTGATCCGATTATGATAATTATTTCATCCAGGGGAAGCTACGTTATACGCGGGTGATCTAGGATATAATTTATACGGGCGAAGTAGCGGGAACTAATGGAATTTTTCATCTAACTTTAACAAAAATTAAAAAAATATAATTTTTTCATAATCGATTTGAAAATAGGCATTTTTTTGGTTGAAGTGCGCACTTGACGAAGTATTGCTTATTAATAATGTGCTGTTTGTCGGTCAGGATGCACGCAAGGCGGCGTGTGACACTTCGCTTGCTCAGGCGACCGCTAACTTGGAGCCGATCGGACGCATACAGATGCGGACGAGGCGCACGCTGCGAGGACACCTCGCCAAAATATACGCAATGCACTGGGGCAGTGACTCCAGGTAATGTTCTTTGTACATTTATTCATCAGCAACATCACCAGCCTATAAATTAAACTATCAGGGCCTGTACATATAGGCAAACTAGACAAATGCCTAGAGCGCTCGTACTTGAGGGGCTGCAAGGCATTGCAAACAAATTGTTTGCTCTAATTATTTGAACCTTAAAAGTGAGTAAGAAATAAAAGGCCAAGGACTTTTTGGCATTGGCAAAATTACACTCTTTAATCAGTATATCTATATTAGTCTTTTATTTTGCAGTGATTTTTTTTATGTCCATCCAATGTTTTAACTAGAATGCCAACTTCCAGTGTGCCGACGCTGGAAACTATGATATTGTTACTAGCTGGGTTTGTGATAAAAATTATACAAAATCGGTTAGTTAACAATCTGGCAATTTATCACAAAATAATCCGATAACAAAAATACATCACTAACTTCACTATCACTATTAGGTCGTTCAGATAATTATTCGCTTTGGATATCGCCGTCGTATTCAAATCACTGAATGAATTCTGAGACTGGGCAGTTTGCCGAGTATTTATACCGGCCCATGTGGGTACAATTTGGGTGGGTCCTGACCTGCGTATTCGGGGCATTTCCTAAAAGTTATTTATTTACACTTCATTGTACAACACTATAGATATATATGGAACAATACAAACATGAAAATCCTATTTGTACAATAGGCGGCCTTATCACTTAACAGCGATTTTTACCAGGCAATCTAAATTGTTACCCGTCCCTTTCTTTCTTGCTTTCGTAAGATAACACCCTCTTCTATTAAATATCACCAGCGTATTATTGTCTCTATTTCTGTGGCATGAATGGAATCGAATCGAATAAGCAGAAATGAGTCATCACGACCCCAGCCCCAGTGTGTAATAGACAATGTTAATAACTGCAGATGCAGCCCGAATCAAGGGTATGACGTACATTCGGAAGCTCGTGATCATTAATGTTTCATTACCTATCCTATGCCTGAGCTTTGCGAAAGTTGCTTAACTGCGGACAGACCGCTCTAATACTAAAGGTTGAATAAAAACGTTTTTATTTTTAGTTTTTATTTTCTGCTTGTCTAAATTATTTTTAGTCTAATTCAACATATCTTTCTTCAAATAAACTTATTTATACATTTGATTAGTTACTTATTACCTACCACTCGTTCAGGCCGTCTTTTGACTGATAAGGAGAACGAGCAACAAACACACAAGCTCTAATAGAAGTAACGACATTTACGATAGCCATTGCTTTTTAGTATATTCTTTGCATTATGTACAGTCGGCCAAGAAAGTGGTCTACCACCCTAAGGTTGAATTTCGCGTGTTACGTCAACTAACAACAAGGTTGATTTTCCGTAGCATTAATTTTTTGACACGTAGTACACGTCATTATTGCTATCTTCATCATTTTGACGTAACCTTTGACAGTAATTATCTATACCTATAATAAAAATGTAACAAGGTTACATTTGTAAGATATTTTGGAAAAAAAATATATGGACGGCCTTCATAAGACTAATAGAAGCCAAAAAATGTTTTTTTCTGTCTGTCTGTTTGTATGTTTAAATACTTTAGAGTTAGAATATCGTAAATAAAGTCTTATAGTCTACAAATATCCTACATTAGAATGTAGATTAATTATATTTTAATACAAATAAAAAAATCAGTAGGTAGTGAAATGTTATGCGTAAGAAGCTATGCGTGTTATAGGTCTGAATATACTGAGATAACGGATAACAGAAATGAATAGCGACGAAAAACATATTGCGCCGACCCATAGCTTAGTGCGAGACAAGGGCTAAAACTAGAAGAGATAGTGAAAATGCTAATTCTTTGGTTGTTAAAAAATATATACAATTCTTTTATAAAATTATAATTCTTAAAATCTTGTGTAGCCGCCATCTGCCTCTATAACAGCTTGGAGACGTTCCCTCATCGAGCCCACCAGTCTTGAGCAGATATCAGACCCACGTGTTTCCTCCCAAACCTCATTGCAGTGCCCTTGTAGTGCTTCTGCTGTTCATTCATTACGGTTACACCATCTCTGAACCATAAGACCCCACATATTTTCAATAGGGTTGAGATTTGGCGATTTTGCAGGCCATGGTATCAAGTTTATTTCCGGATGTGCATCAAACCAAGCACGTGTTACCCTTGCTTTATGTAAGGGACAGTTATCCTGTAAATAATTAAATTGACGCATTTCATTTTCTGGATAAACGTTCCGGACGGATGGCAACATAGCATTTTGGAGAACATCAACATAATCTAATGCCGTTGCTCGTGGTGGCAAAAAGGTCAAGTCTCCAACACCATCAGCAGTCATCCATCCATACAAATTTACCGAGATACGACCCGATTCTCTATTTGGCACATGATTTTGCGTGTATCGCGTTTTATTGAATCGCCAAAGGTGTAGACGCCCGTGTTGACTGGATTTAAAAGTTTTCTCGTCACAGAAAACAGTGTTACTCCAATCAAAATCCAAATATTCTATGGCGAAATTTAACCTGGCCATTCTATGAGCGTCAGTCATATAAATTTTCTTTGCATAACGCCTGTGATGTAAGCCCATGTAATGTAAATGGTTTCTAATGGTTTGGTGAGTCACGTCAAATATGTCGGCAAAATAACGCGTTGGTATAAAGCCAGATTCCTCATAACTCCGTCTCATGAAGACTCGCTGAGTATCTGATATTTCAGGTCTACGACCGCTACGACTCCGAGCGTTCGAATTCCCCTCCTCGCTTTCTCGTCTTATCCAAAGACGGACAGCTTGTCTCTATAATCAAAAATAAAATATGAACAGAAAAAATAAAAAAAAAAATTACACTCTGACTTGGTCTGAGATTTTACATTAAACTCACGTCAGACATAATAATACTTACCGACACATTTAATTCTCTAGAAATCTCACTAATATTTAAACCATCATTGTGTAATGCGATTATTTGTGCTCTTTCGTTAATGGATAAATTTCGGGGCATTGTAGTGTAAATTAATTAGGAAAATATCTACGGAAAATGCCGAGAAAATATTTGACAGGAATTGTCAAGTGATATATTCTTTTTCAGTAAAAGAGTTTTCGTAACAAAATAGTTTCCACTTTGAAGTGACCTACTTAAATTTTAAATTTATGAAATATTGTGAAGACTATTTGTTGTTGCAAATTATTATCTAATGCATAGGCTGCAAAGGTCAAAATAACATTTGTGCTCTACGACAACACGTCAGCATTGTGCATCTCTTTTATTGTTTGTATGCAATTCTAAGATTCGCCTTTAGCGATGCTTTAAAGACACGGGAAATGTTGTCAAAACTGTTAGACCACTTTCTTGGCCGACCGTACATTTTACCGCATACATTGTTTCAGTATGAAATACGCGAACAAAACATATCCATTGGTCGCGCAACAAGTAATTTATGTAACAACTATTTATGTTCCGATTATGTCGGCACTTTCCCGCCATACATATTCATAGGAGTCACTAATAGGATTGCCTGTTATGAGAAACAGAATAATCGTGTTAATAAATTTAACGTTATAAATCATAAATTTGCCTAATTCCAAGTAGCCACAGGTCTTGTTATGTAAATCTGAAACAACAAGATATTATCAAGTCTCTGAACATAGAATAGTTAATTTTCTACATTAACTCGGCCAGGAATAAAATCATGACGTATATCCAAGATCATGGAAATTCTGCTTACTTCAGTAAATATTTGCGACTTCCAAGTTTATTTTGTACAAGGAGCAAGTTGTTTTTATGATTTCTTTTACCCCTCCCAGGCATATTTGCCAAAAAACTTGTAAGCGAGACATTTGTATTACTGTTGGTAAACAAAAATCTATAGTAGAGCATGCGTGGTCCTATGCAAATATTTTGTTTTCACTAAGCCGAAAGCATAAAACTACCATCTATTCTTTTCACACCTTCCATTTCACAATAAATTGAAAAGAGATCGATATAGTTAGAGAGACTGGCAAATCGATCAGATTTTACCGCGTCATTTGTTTGGAGATCTTCCGAAAAGGCCGGTCTTCTAACGAATGACCAAAAATTTAGTAAATTGAATTTTTCCACCCCACCTTAAAGCTTGAAGTCGGGTGTATGACGAAAATTAACTTTTCTACACTCACAGTAGTCAGTCAACCGCACACCTGTATCATTTCATCATCCTGTTATGTATGTTCCGTCAACTATGGCTTATCAATTGTTTTGTTTTTGTTAAGTGGGTACTCTAGCACATTTGTACTATTATTTTCTTTCCTAAATTTGTGTCACCGAAGGGTTTTCGAAATTAAGTCGTTATTTTACATTGTTGCTGTTGTGTTACCGAGTTAACATTTCCTGTTACTTTCTATCATAGTGGGCGAATATTGTTTAATTTGAAATTATAGTGTTTGCTCATTGTTTGTGATTGCAAAAAATGCCACTCGATGCAACTGATGTAGCTAGGGCAGTGGCTTTAGCTGATGCGGGATAGAGTCAGAGTCGTATTGCTCGCACACTTGTATACCTCGAACTACGGCACGAGATGCCATCAGACGATTTCGGGAGCCAGGCTTATACACCCGCAGGCCAGGTCAAGGCCGACATCGATGCATTTCGGCTAAAGATGACCATTTCGTTGCTTTTCGACCGTTACTGTACCTCGTACGTCTCTTTTTGAGGTGGGAAATGTCAGTGTCAGTGAACGTACCATTAGATAAACACTAGCAGAAAGTAATTTGAGGGCTGTTCGTCCAGCTCGCTCTCCGCAACTGCTCCCACAACACCGTAGAGCTCGACTTGGTTTTGCGCGAGAATATGTTGACTGGACTGTAGAGGAATGAAAAAACGTACAGTTCTCAGATTAGAGCAGAATAAGCCTTAAGAGGTTCAGATGGACGTCAGCGTGTCTACAGGCGTCAAAATGAGAGGTTTACTCGTAGGTTACCAGGGAGGGTCCATAATGGTATGGGGAGGTATCACTTATGAGGCTCGTACCAATCTTGTTGTGTTGGATAGAGGAAATGTAAACGCTCAAAGATACGTGGAAGAAGTTCTTCAAGACCATGTATTACCTTTCACTCCGTTCATTGCATGCGTGACAACGCACGTTGCTATACCACAAGATCCGTTAGTGAGTACCTTAATGAGGTCGGGATTCAAGTTTTACCATGGCCCGCACGCAGTCCCGAACCTAACCCAATAGAGCACATTTGGGACAACCTTAAAAGATGTGTCCGAGCAAGAGTACCAGTCCCTACGACTACAGGAGTGCTAAAAACGGCTGCAGTAGAGGAGCACAATATCCCCCCATCGGATATTCAAGACATCATGGATGGATTGACAAAACGGCTCCAAAAAGTCATAAGTGCCAGAGGTGGCAACATCCACTATTCATTTTTATTTTTTCTTTTAATTGCACAATTATCTTCAAAAACAATATTTTAAAATTTTCACTGAAGATTTCCAAACAATAGATTTTTGGTAAGCATCCTTTAATAAATGACATTTGCCAATATTTTGGTTGTTTCTTTTTCTTTAAGTATAGTTTTTAATATTCCTTTTATAAAATGTGGTTGTAAAAAGAAATAGAAGGTGGGTGGTTAATTATGTCTGTGAATGCATATTGTGAACAAATGATAAAAGCTATTTAATTTGCAATTTGAGGAATGTATGTGGTGTTTGATTGTATAACTAAATGTTTTGCTGCGATTTCGCCCGCGTAAATTATAATCTGAATGATGTAGCTTCCCGTTGGTAAAAGAATTTTCATGATCGCATAAGTATTTCCGAAGATATTATCCTCTACAATTGAACAAACCAAGTTATAAACTTTACCTCTATAATATTATTTTTTATTAATTGCCACATAAAACAAATTACAGACATAACTTAAACAAAATATATAAATAGGTGACACCTAATTAACCTTTTATTTGTATAATATTCAAGAACAGACATAAAACAATAGTATAGTCATAATAAATTGAAAATATTGAAATCTGATCAAAGCCAAGGAATTAATTAATTAAAATTGATATTAATAAATAAAATCCAAAAAATAGCAAGAGAAATTAATTTACAATACATTATTTCGAATAATAATTTGCCTTATCGAGAAAGGAGAAAAAATTATAAAGAGCTTATATTTTCCTGTAATATTCTTCTTTTGCAAGTTCTTAAATATATATAATTAAAAGAACTGGCAATCCTACAATTATAGTTTATTGGATCGCGTTTCAGCAAACTGTAAATAGTTATAGTTCTCAGTATTTTAGCGATATCTCGGAAATTGTTTCTTTCAAGGTAACGTTGAACATCAAACGATATTTTATTGAGGATTCGTTTTAAATATTTTGTTACCTGTACCGGGTATTCACCTAGTCAGAAAATATTAACTTAGAGGAAGTTTGTGGCATTTATTTTCTATAGTATAGACGGAATCTTTTTGTAACGATGTCTCGAGTATTAATGATTTAATTGCAGGTCGTTTACAATTTTACGTTAATTATTATTTGCCAAACTTGTTTAGTTATTCGCATTGTAATTCTAATTATAATTCAACCTGGATATAAAAAAAAATGTGTTTAATTTATCGCGCTTAAAATTTGTACTTTTCTCTATCATTCATTATCATATAAAATTGTAAATAAATAAATTGCTCAAATCCAAAATGACGTAGTTACGCATTTGTATTATGGAAATCTGAAACAGTAGAAAGCAGACACAACACCCAGACTCAAGAAAATATAGTATAGTTAATTTTCTACATTGAATCAATTGAACCTGGTGTGCTATGCATTCGGCGACGTAGGTTGTCAATTAGTTACAGAAGTGTAACAATTTATTCATAAGGATCTGGCCACAAACTTAGAGCCGTTTTCTTCATATAAAATATAAATTTTCTCCTATTCAACAAATGTCAAGTCTCATTTCCTTGTAATATTTCAATGTGTAACTTGTCAACACTTTTGTACAAAAAAAACATAGGCAAATAACAGCGTGTTTAGGGAAATAAATTATGATTTGAAGGAAAAAGCTAGTTCCGAAAGTAGGTCACGATAAAATAAATATATTAAGGATTCAGGGGATATACTTTTAAGCCCACAAAGTTTTGATTGCGTCCATATCAAAAACCTGCTTTGTTATTCTGTAAAAAATCAGCAGCAAATGCAGTGTATAACACAATGTCTACTATTTGATTAACTAGCTGTTTGCCAGCGACTTCGCCCGCGTAAATTATTGCTTATGTCACCCGCGTATGATGCCAGGTAAAGAATTTAAAAAAAAAACGATCAAGTAGTTTTGGAGCATATTCGATGTAAACAAAGAAATATTTCTATAATCGAAAAATTAACAGCTTGAACTACGAATGTGGGGGATGCGAAAAACGTGTTAGAAAAAGTTAAGAGCATCTCAATCTAGTAATTTTTCTTATTAAAAATACAGCCCTTAAAAATACAGGCTCCGACCCGTGATTTTAATTAAATTGTTATCCGTCAATGATCACAAGTTGAGTAGGTTTATCTATGATTTATTATATGGCAATAGAAAACACGAAATCGAGAAGAATCCAATATTCAGTTTTTTTAACAAGGATTTTTTTTTGCTCTCGTTTTCCCTAAAAATCATCATATCACCATGTGTCCCTATGATTGGATATAAACATACGCAAAGAAATATGGTAAACGCATATCGAAATGTAACGCGCCAAAGAAGGCGAAAGAAAATGATTTGGAATTTTAATGAGAACTACCGCACACACCGTCACCGTCAGTACCCCTCGATTCGTCAGAATTCTAATGTCACCTCATCACATTGATTAGCGAGGTGCAGAGAAAATGAATTTCGTTAGTTTTCTTTATTGAAATACTAAAGCCAACTACAATGAAATCATAAAAATGTGTGAAACAAAAATACATATATCCTCGTCTGAAATAGATAAGATAAAAATAACAATCAGTTCTTCATCGAATCCTTTTTTAATTTAGATACCTAAATAAAAGTACAATTCCGGGTTTCAGAATGAAAACGGAAATGTCTCATAACTTAAGTCGTGTGATAATAATTTTTCGGTCACCCATCCTATGACTGGCCTCTGAAAAGGGTGCGTAACATCGTTTACTTAACGCGCCAACTACTGCTTTTTCGAATACCTCTTTAACAAATGAAATGTCTTGTTAAGTGTTTGTTAGTAGGTATTGTTTTTGTGTGAGCCGCTACCCAGTCTGGGCGTGGTCTGGCGTGTATTGATTCGGTACAGCTGATTGTGTCTTCGTGACACGTATCCGTTCATGGAACAGGACTAACGGTTACACAAATACAGACAAATTTAATGATCACGTTAATATATAATAATATTTTAAAGAGGGAATATTTAATTGTTTGTTTGCATTGAATAGGTTCCGAGACTACTGGATCAATTCAGAAAAAAAAAAACCCCTAAGGGAAAGCTACATTACAGCTAATATAATATATTAATAATGTTAGCCTGAATCGAAAACGAATGAGCGTGTATGTGGTGATTAAAATAAAACCGATACTTATAAAAATCGTTCGCGCTACTTTATCAACGTGTATAGCAGATACGTATTGTGTACGTCACCGTAAGATTGTAATTATCATCAGTTAATAATCTGTCTCGTTAGATCACAAACTATCTTACGTCGAATAGGTTATATTATAATAGCTTGTGAACAGGTGCTTGTGGCGTTGAGTCTGCTCTGGGTCTTTGGACTACTTGTTTTTTTTTGTCTTTTATGTTATAGATTTATATCAATTATATTATCAATAAATTTGTATGACAAAGAATCAATAGACTGATGAAAGAATTATCTCTTTTTGTTATCTTTTATTCTAATGAAAAGTGAATTCAAAGGCTATTGAAGAAATTTCTCTGTGCGAAAGAAAGAAATAGCTGTTGCTGAGAGTGCCGCTGTTTCTTCTCGGTATAAGGTCTCCCGCTGTGCTCTTATAGTGGGAATATTAAAAAAAAAAAAACTGATCATGCTAATGACCGTATTAAACGCAAAAATGACGTTGATGATTTGTGGAATATTATTGCGTCACCGACTAATCGGCCGATTCATTTATTTTTAGACGCGTCTACAGTTTAATAGCTCCGTTTCTTATAATATGCAATTTCTAGACAACTTACTGGATGCCACTTTTTACATTATTTGATTAATGGTAAAAAATAGTATTTATGTTACAAAATGTTTAATAAATTTGAATATAAGGTGTAAAACTAAGGGTGGTAAATTTATACTAATAATAGTCATTCTCAAATATAATTGAAACCTAAGACGATGGTTCTCAAACTTTTTTGGCGATAGAACCTCTTTTTAAACCAAATATTTAAATTAAGCATTTAAATAAAACCCAGTTTATGTCTATTGTTTGTCAATAATTAATAATAGAAATATTTTACTTTTAAATGATCATTTGAGCAAATCTGACTAATATTTTCGTGGATAATATAGCTATAGAATTCAGTGCTGTTCTGAGTTAAATTTATTTTTAAGGTTCATAGTGATTAAATTAATTAATAACAACATCAAGAAATTTATTTATTCTAATAAATGAAATATTTTTAGCATTGTGGTCTCAATATAATTTTTAATATCCCATTCCAAAATTAGTTTAAAATTACTCTGTTTTGATGAAAGAGCAATAATCAATGTGTTGCAGAAGGTTTAGATTCGTAACTTGTTTTGTTACTTTTAAATAGTTGTGCAGTAGTAATAATTTATTTCTGAATTGTTTCAGGAACCTGGTGTCGGCCAGTCAGGACGGCAAGCTGATAGTGTGGGACAGTCACACGACCAACAAGGTGCACGCGATCCCGCTGCGCTCGTCGTGGGTGATGACGTGCGCGTACGCACCGTCCGGCTCGTACGTGGCGTGTGGCGGCCTAGATAACATCTGTTCAATCTACAGGTAATATACTAGTGCAAGAGACCCGTTAATCGTGTTTACAGGTTAACTAGTTAGTTAGAACAATAGTTAACCGATTTGTCAGACCAACGGCTAACCGACAACGGCTAGTTAGATAAATAAATCAAAATGTTTAGTTAATTCTTTGATGAGATAATCTTAATAGTATACAGATTAACTATAAAACTTACAGCTAATTTAATTTTAATGCTACAGATAGAATACAAAACACGTCAAAATAGGCGCATTTATGTCAGTTTCTTATTTTTGGAACCAAGGAGGATTTTATGTTCATCAAACAGTTTATATATGGTAAATTCTTCATATTATAATAATGTTCTAAATACGGATTCTAACCTATTTGTAAGCAATTAAAATTCCTTATCTTGATAGTCGCTGATTACAATAAAACCCAATCACTATGGCCGACCAGACATAAATCAGTATCGACATTTGAAACCTTTACGCGTTATCGTTATTGACAAATTGTATTATGAATTGTCATGCAGCTTGAAAACGCGCGAGGGTAACGTGCGCGTGTCCCGTGAGCTGCCCGGTCACTCGGGCTACCTGTCCTGCTGCCGGTTCCTGGACGACAACCAGATTCTCACCAGTTCCGGCGACATGTCGTGCGCGCTGTGGGACATCGAGACGGGCCAGCAGTGCGGCCTGTTCCAGGGTCACACGGGTGACGTCATGTCGCTTTCGCTGGCCCCCGATCAGCGCACGTTCGTGTCCGGTGCGTGCGACGCCTCCGCTAAGCTGTGGGACATACGCGACTGCCAGTGCAAGCAGACCTTCCCCGGCCACGAGAGCGATATCAACGCTGTTACGGTGGGTATATTACCTATACTTATTTATTGTTTTCTAGCGTTTGCCGCGTGGTATATGTTGTTATTTGAATTTTTTTAGGATATGATATTTCTCATCTTCATGTATAATATAGATTTTATTGCTATTTCTTTATTATGTATGTTTTGAAAAGGAGAAAATAATTTAATCAATGACATTACAAAACACAAAAAGCATGTCAATAACCTATCAAATCACACTCAAAATGAAACTCAGCATATGTATTTTCAAGTGCAAAATAAATACAAAGTTCATGATATCGACAATGACGAATTTCCATACATACATTCATTCCCCTGTTTCAATCTTTTGGCCTTTTATTCACGATAAAAGGTAACTCGTGACTTTTCCTAAAGTCATCTCCACCGCTGTAACCTTCATTAAATCAGTTCAATGGTAAAATTTTCTGTACTCTTCTCAGATTTCCATAATCCAAGCGATTCCTGATTTAGCACTGCGGCCGCGATACATACAATATAATTGGTGTGTCGTTTGTTCAGTTCTTCCCGTCGGGTTTCGCGTTCGCGACGGGCTCGGACGACGCGACTTGCCGCATGTTCGACATACGCGCGGACCAGGAGCTCGCGATGTACTCGCACGATAACATCATCTGCGGCATCACCTCCGTCGCCTTCAGCAAGTCCGGCCGGCTGCTGCTCGCCGGCTACGACGACTTCAACTGCAACGTCTGGGACTCTATGAAGAGCGAGCGTGCCGGTACGTACACATACATAAATTACCTCAACGCTACATAATTTTGATACTTAACTACTAACACATTTCATTTACTATGTCTTCATTAAGAAATAGTTAGTTCGGTTTAGATTGATTTTATTATATTTAATATGATTAGATGAATAAATTATTTACTGCGCACATGAAAGAAACCGTTTACAGAGCATTTTATAATATTATTAACATTTTCGTGGACCATGCTTTGAGTATAGTTGCTTATATATAAATTTTCCTTTCCTAATGTAAGTGTGGGACTTCAAACCGGTTTATTTTGCAAACCGATTCAATATAAGTGCAGGCGTTTATTTTTTGGAAAGGTTAGGCATCACTGAACCTTCCTTATGGATGGTTCAGCAGGATGGCCCATCGTTCTCCACGCTGGCCAATACGGATTGGAGAATATAACGATTGCAAATGCAGCTGGAACCATCGGTTTAACATACCTTCCGATGCATGGAGTAGCTTAGATAACAATATTATGGTCACCAATACCGTGAACGAGCTTTGCGAAAGTTGCTTAACAACAACGATTGCGGGTAGAAAGCGTTTATCAACTACGCCGAGCTACTCTACATAAACATTACCAACCAAATATTTATACAGAGCCCTTAAAAAATCTAATTTTAATACCGTGGTTTTATTAAATGGTAATGTAAAAAACGGATAATGTTATTAATTCTGTTTGTTGCAGGTATATTGGCCGGTCACGACAACCGGGTATCATGCCTCGGCGTCACCGAAAACGGAATGGCCGTCGCCACCGGCTCCTGGGACTCCTTCCTGCGTATCTGGAACTAAACACCCAATCACTACTCCCACACCCACCATCCATCACCATCACCGCTCGCGCATCCACATCACACTCGCCGTAAAACGACAGACGGAAACGTCTTATGTTTTAATACTAGCGATGCGCGAATACAATCAAATATATTAATGAAAATAAATCTTTTTTGATATATAAGCACAGTGATATTTCAACTGTATCCGATCGCGTTTGAGTAAATATACATTTTGAAGTTAAATTGTTATTGATAGTGAAATATGATCAGTGTCTGTTTTTAATAATTTAGTTTTTTTTTTGTAAATCAAGTTCAAACTTTAATCTGAAATTGAGTTCAAATTCTATTATGGAATTTGATTTTTTTTACTGTCCCTATCTATCTGGTACACCATCTATTCTATCTACTCTATCGGCTTTAAACTCATAGTGTGATAAGAACCAGTATTCTAAACATGGTTTACTTATTGGTCTTTATACAGTCACTATCGGTAATACGATAGTTTTATCAAAGAAAGCCAACAATATCGATTATGGCTATGACTTTGTCGAAACTTAAAATTATATATACCTACGCGATCGAGCAAGTTAAACACTCCCTACGATTTGAAGTTTTGACCGTGAACTATCTAAAGCGATGCAAATACAGTAATCGAAGCGGGACGGCGCCATGCACGCATATATCGTTGTTTCACATCAATAACTGCATTTGGATCGCAGAGTGCACGGTTTTAGATTGTTTTCAGACATTTTTACGGTCCCACTCCCATCTCTTGAAAGGGAGGCAACTACGTTCGCTTTGTTATATCTATGGTAGTTGATAATTTATAACATGAAGCATTTAAAATACGAGTATAGTGGGCGCAGTGTCGTTTATATGTGCGTGTGTATGCGTGCGTGTGTGCGTATATATTATTTCTACGTTCAGGATAATACACATACGATTATATATACTTACATTAATATATATAATAATATTATAATAACAGGTTAGCACTGAATATATCACGGTGGGCTGCGCTGCGAATTGTTTCTTTGATTTGGTAAGTTTTCACTATTTTTGTTTCTTTATGTAAGCATCACGATGACGGGATTTAATGTATATAAATACCTATATATTTTTATAGAAATCTGTACATATTAGTACATTTGTGGTACAAATATTTCAGCAGTATTTAGGTTTTGACATCAAAGTGGCGTGGGCCAAACAAAGTTTTACCATACTATTTTAGTTTTCAGAGGTATAAATAATCTTTTCTGTATATATAGTTAACTATAATACGTGTATTTTTAAATTTGGGAATTTGGTCCCGCCCACTTGATTCTCCCTTCTTTACATAGTTAATTTTGGTATATATTGGTAATCTTTATTGCACAAAAAAAAAATAACATGACAATAGTAGATGATACATCACAAGCAAGGGTGGTTTATGCTGTTCGTATAAAAATACCAATATTCAGTTACTCGAGTGATCCCTTAAAGTCAATAACGATGCTGGTAATAAATAAACTTTTATTTAATAAATCAGGTATTCCAAATTTTGGTATCTGTAGACATCCAATTTTTTATATATATATATATTTAAAAATTTCGGATTATATATTTTTTAAATATATTTAAAAAGTTTATTCATCAATTTTATGGTATTTAAAGTGATTCAATTTCAACATATTTCTGACAAAAGTAAAAGGTTTTTTATTTGTTGATTCGATCAGCAGGGCGATTCTGTAGAAATCCGAACCCGAATTCGAATTCACTCAATTGTCCTTATTTACGTCATTTAGTGAAGAAATTCTATTGATCCCATTTTTTGTATAAAAATACAAGACAAAATTGATCTCTATTATATGTATCTCAGATTTTCCATATGCCACGAAACATTACTGTCAATTAAACATTGAGCGGATGCCGCTTTTTGAAGTGGATTGGGACACTTGAGTCAGTTTTAACTCGGGTTTGGATTTTTACATAATCGCAGGACAGGTTCCAGAAAATGAAAGGTTTTGGTGGTGTAATATTAGAAACTAAACTACCAGACTACTAACTACCAGATAGTTTCATTGTTTATCTTCATTTCGATAGATTGACAGTGTGATCTAAAACATATTATTTGGGTTTTATCAATAACTTATACATAGTTCATGAATTTTTCGAAGTTTTAGTTCATATAAAACATATTATAGAACTAAAACCTTAAGTTAATAATATTTAGCAACGGAAACATAAAGTGTTATATATTACTTATTTCAATGCACGAGTCTGCAATGATAGGAATTAATTTAAACTAAACTTAAAACATATTGAAATGTATTGTGTCTTTCTTCCAGATAATGCATCGCACAATCGCAAGTTGAACAAGCTCTTGAAATTCTATTATTAAAGAACCAAATACTATTCTTAATATATATGCGTAATTTATTTAATGAGAATTTGTTTTTCATATGTATATGTATTTCATATGTATATGTATTTATAGAAAAAAAAAATGTAATTCTACAGTTGGAGCTAATTTATAATTTTATGTACTGTATAGTTTGTAGTGATCCAGGTTTATAAAGAGATTTGATAAAGTGAAGATCTCCACGGATGGAAAACGTTGTAATTAATTGTATTTATATTTTCCTATTTTTTTCTCTTAATTTATTGTTGGATTTCTACATATAGAATCGTATATATTGAAACCTTAATGTAATTGTGTCTACATCAAACCAACTTATACAATGTATTTAAGATTTATATGTAGAGATTTTTATTAAGTATTAATGGCGTTGCACAAATCTCATGAACCAATGATAAATGGTTACATAATGAAATAATTATAACTCTAGTTTTGGCATTACGCGACTTATTAACTACTACTGTATCAGTATGTGTGCTGAAGTTGAATTGACGGCGTTTTCTAAATAGCAGATTGGTTCAAATGTAAGGTTTATTTATAATTATTCAATATGGTGATTAATAGCCGACGTTTATTCGTATTAATATGACAGCATAGCACAAAATCGACGTTTAAAAATTTATTACGCTTTGGATCCTGCTGAACATTTTTTAAATATTGTATATTGTGGGTGTTATCAAAAGTAAATAAGTCAACTTAAAAGCAGCTGTTAAGCAGTAACGGAAGAGTTATTTGTATTAACTATTTAGGCCCTGTATATAAAATAAAGGTGCACCTCCAGCAACAAAAAAATTAGTAACAAAAAAATTGGTAATCTTAACGTATACAGCAGGAACGCACAATCGTACCATTATTTAAAGACTACGCAAAGCGCACATGACGTTTTCGACGTTCTAACATTATTTAATTCCGCAATCCGGATGATTCGCTTATTCATTTCAGAATTCTCGTTTTAAATATAAATTAGTAGGATACAAAGCGTATATTTCTCTAAATAATCATAGTCTTTGCCATAAAACGTAACTGCACAAAATTTAACAATTTAATTTTTGTACGTCTGCGGTCACAGAGATGCAACAGTGGCAGACTAATAAGAAACCGGAAGTTTTTAAGAACGCCTTTTTATCTAAGCTAACTCTTTGTAGATTCGCTAAGAACAATTTCAAAATTAGAATATCCAAAGCTTAGATTTCCCAATGTACCTATATTTATATGTCATATTTCGGACATTGCCCAAACACATCTCTCTTGTCAGTTTGCCTCCGTATCACTGAGTACCGTCACATATTGTGATCAGTTCATACGGTTCAGCACTTAATGCTTCATGTATTAAGTATCATTCCTATGAATTAAGGTGATGTTAGAAACCAATAGATATTGTGTGATGTAAATTATCTTCAGATGTTTTGGGAATGCATATATATACGTCGAGTGCCGCGTTCAAAAATATTGCGATTAAGCTGATAGTGTGCATGTACGTGTAAACATTTAGATTGTTTGTGGTATAACAAGACACTGATGTGGAATGAATCTATAAATCCTTCACGGTCGAACCTATACATTTTACCCGACTGCACACAGGGTGAAATTAAACTATTATCATTCTATGTTAATTTCTAACGAAATAAAACATTTACGTACTGAATACCTGAACCTTGAGTTAAAAATAAAAGCATCAAGTGTATTGTGGCATATAATTTTTAAACCTAACTAGATAAGTCATCATATTTTCTATTATTAATCACATCATTCGTAAAAATATCATGATTCTCACTTGCATTAATTTCGCACAAACGGGCATTTTTATTAAACTAATTTTCTATGTCAATATACTACAAATGGTACTTATGGTCATTATCTGTTTTATAATGAAGATTATTCACATTAATAATGAGAACCAACAGTGACTGATATGAAGATCATTCGCACAGTTACGTAAAATTAGATGTTTATAATCTTTGATTCATAAGTTTACATTCACAAAGTCCTTTGTACAATCGACACTTTTATATTTGGGACGTGTAAACATCAAAAATACGTCCCGCGAGTTCATTTTTCTAGATTAAGCTAGGACATAGGTAATTAAGGGTTTAAACGATACAAAAAAAGTCTAGGCATTTGTAACTTCGACATTCTGTGTTGCTACCAGCGAAAATTCGAGGCCAATTTTAATTTTGTGGTAACACTAGTTTCGGTAAGTATACAACAGGTTTTGTTGCAGTATTTATACGGATCATGAGCACATTTTGTGTGTATAATGGCTGATATCTTACGATTAAATATTAAAGTGAAGGTAGTTATCGGTCATTGTACATGACCGCACTGAGTCTGCTATAAAATTTTAATTAGCGACCACGTTTAATGGTTGTTGCGCTGTATTGTGTTTACTTTTCGTTTATATATTAAGCCTTTGTCTTAGATAGGTATATATGTAGATGTTTATAAATACTGTTTAAGGCAGGCACGGTACGTTGACAACATTGGGGCTGAATTGTAATTTCCAGGATATATTAGTACGCTTTCAGTCTTTTATCATATTAATAACAATATGTATCGTGCTCAAATATGCATAGTATAACTTGTAACACTGCAATCATTTATTTTATTTGTTATATTTCTTTTTTTTTTGTCATTTTATTTATTTTAATGCTGTTAACATAGACTTTGATGTATAAGTGCTAGACAATTGTGTTATAACGCAAGAGCTCGTCATCTTGGTATGTGTAGCGTGTGAGAAGAAATTCTAGTAAAGATTTAAGCGAGACGGCAATATGAAAAGTGGATACACCCAACAAATGGGCGAGCCTTTTTTGGTTACCGCACAACCTGTCTAGTAGTTTACATAGAAGTCTTTGGCTATAACTATAATATAAAGCCGTCAATAAGTTTTAGATTAAAGACAAAATATGGATGTATTGAGTAATTACGGCATATCAAACAATTTGCTCCGCCATTTTATATGAGTATTGAGACTAGTTATTTTTGTATGTTTTTTGTTAATTACATTATTGCATTATTTGTGACAGCAAAATTGATACTATTTTATACTCCGCACGCATCTATTTGTCTAAAATCTAAAGTAAGGTATTCGCGTTGATGACGAAAATGTATTTTTTTATTTGTCCAACGTAAGAAAGTTTTTATGTTGTTGGCGGAAAAAGCAAAGGCAACGCAACCATACAGCCGTCGACGCGTTGGTCAGATAAAAAGGAATGAAGTTAGCTCTGGTCTGCTAGTTTTACGCATAGGATAAGACTTTTTTAAAAATAAACATTATTTTCTACTATAACGGCTTCTTTTCCGATCGATGTATGATAACATAATATAATATAGCAATACATTTAATATGTATGATATTTAATGGATAGTTTGAAAGCTCCTTTGGTTATTTTCTATTCAGACCAATTTTTCTCACTTTTACATCGTATTATTGGAATGGACTGCCATATTTTAACCTATAACTGTAATATTATAAATGTATCTTACTTAAAATACGTGGGAAATTGTTTAAGCATCCCATAAATTGACTCAAGGTTCGTCAACTGGCAAGAGCATTATGAAACTGACGATGTCGATCTGTGAAATTTACAAGCTATGATAACAGAGAACCGAGATCAGTTATGGATGGAAAACTTAGATTTTGATTAAAAATATTTGTTTAGGAAATAAAGAAAAAGTTAAAACTGTTCCCGAACGTGTAAATCTGATTCCTTTGACATGTCTGTATTTAAAAAGAAAGGATTTGTATAAGTTAATTTTTATTTGCTAGTCCACATCTTTGATATGTTTAAAAATAATTATTCTTAGTGGTGTAATACTAATTATAATGTATTGTGTAAAATATTTTTTTTTAGTTATTATATCAATAAATTCAAATTTGTTTATTTTAAAACGTTAGTTTTATTCAT